AATCAAAACCACAAGGAGATAACCACTTGGCACCCACTAGAATGGCTATAATCAAAAAGAGAATACCAAGTTGTTATCAACTTGGAGAAACTGGAACCCCCATACATTGCTGGTGCACGTATAAAACGGTAGAGGCAGTTTGCAGGACAGTTTGGCAGTTCCTCAAAAAGTTCAACGTAGTTACCTATACGTTCAACGTATGACCTGGCACTTCTGCCTTTATGTGTATACCCGAAATATGAAAAGATATTTTCACAAAAAACTCGTATACCAATGAGTGAATGTTTGAATGTTTGTAGCAACATTTCCTGTAATAGTAAAGAATAAAAACAGCCCAGTCGCCCAACAATGATGAATGGATAGATAAAAGGGTATATCCAAACAATGGAATATTATTTGGCATTAAAAAGGGACTAAAGTTCATACACCTGCTGCAAGCTGGATGAACCTCCAAAACACACTCAGTGAAAGAAGCCAGTCACAAAAGACCAGCTGTTGTATGATGTGTGAAAGGTCCGGAATAGACAAATCTCTAGATACATAAAAGTAAGTCAGTGTTTCCTGGGGCTAGGGTGGGGTGGGAACGGGGAATGACTGCTAATGGGTACAATGCAAAATGTTCTAAAAGTAGATAGTGGTGATGTTTATACAACTCTATTAAAAAACACTTAACTGTACACTTAAGTAGGTGAATTTTATGGTATGTGGATTATATCTCTGTTAAAAAGATTATATATCTGTTATGTAGTTGTTAAAAAGCTGTTAAAAATGTAGGGGAGTTGAAGGTGAGACTAGGAGGGTAATAGTACCATGTGGTGGGAAATTCATGGAAGGCATTTGACATAACAGTCTCCAAGATTAGCCCAGTTGTACTTACGTGAAAGTAAGTGGTACACTGAAAGTTTAGAGGAATTTGGAGGATAGTGCAGAAATTTAGGCAAGAGATGACAAGGGCCTAATTCAGAATAGTATAAGTTTAAATTGTTATTTTTGGCGGATTATTGCTTTCTATGGATATATTTAAAACATGGTTATGCTCAAGAAGGACCCATGGGACGCCTGGGTGGCTCGGTTGAGTGTCTGCCTCTTGGGTCTTCGACCCTCTTGGGTCGTCATCTCACAGTTTGTGGGTTTAAGCCCCTCTTCGGGCTCTGCACTGACAACTCAGAATCTGCTTGGGATTCTCTCTGCCTCTTTCTCTGCCCACATACCCCTACCCCTACTTGAGTTAGCTCTCTCTCAACAATAAATAAACACTACAAAGAAAAAAAAAAGAAGGACCTAAATGTGGGCTTGGTAGGAGTTGGGAAGTCTCTTAAATGTTTTTAAACTGTGGCTTTTGTCCAGTTATCTGCAGCCCTTGGCATCTCTCCTTTTTTAAAGGACGTTTGCATTTTCCCTTTAGTTCTGTTTACATTTAGGAGCCAGAAATTGGGACTGGAGTAAGTAGATGATTGTAGAGAAAAAAGAAAAAAAAAAAAAAGTCTTGAAATAGTGTTTGGAAATTGGGAGAATAGATATAACATGGGCTGGTTGTATGTACAGTTGAGCCTTGAACAACACAGTTTGAACTGCGTGGGTCTATTTGCAGATTTTTTTTTTTTGATAAATACAGTACAGTCCTGTAAATATATTTTCTGTTCCTTATGATTTTCTTAATATTTTCTTTTCTCTAGCTTACTTTATTGTAAGAATACATATAATGTATGTACATACATATAATGTAATGTGTTAGTTGACTGCTATCAACAAGGCTTTTGGTCAACAGTAGGCTATTAGTAGTTAAGTTTTTGGGGGAGTCAAAAGTTGTGTGTGGATTTTCAACTGTGTGGGAGGGTCGGTGACCTTAACCCTCACATTGTTCAAGGGTCAACTGTATATGTTGTGTGTGTGTACACACAAACACACACACATACACAGTAATTCTTTTCACAAAGTTGACACCTTCCAGGGGGACTTGAAGATTTGTTCCAGAGTGGGGGTTTCTACTCCATTGCATTTTTTTTTTTTTTTTTAAATTTTTTTTTCAACGTTTATTTTTATTTTTGGGACAGAGAGAGACAGAGCATGAACGGGGGAGGGGCAGAGAGAGAGGGAGACACAGAATCGGAAACAGGCTCCAGGCTCCGAGCCATCAGCCCAGAGCCCGACGCGGGGCTCGAACTCACGGACCGCGAGATCGTGACCTGGCTGAAGTCGGACGCTTAACCGACTGCGCCACCCAGGCGCCCCAACTCCATTGCATTTTATTTAAGGCACCTGCTTTGCAATTTAAGTGAACACAGTGCTCTTCTTTTCGCATGGGACCATCATCTCTGCTATTGAGAGGGCCACATTTGGCCATTGCTGTACTGGAAGTAGTTAAAATCAGGAAGCTTAAACAGACCTTCAGTACATAGTCTTATTAGGGCAACATTGATGGCATGTGTATGAAAACACCATACTATAATGATCTGGTATGCGGGACATTCTTTAAGTGAGAAAAATCTCATTAGCAAGAAGTGCCCTTTTTATGAGACTTAGTAATGCTAATGGATGTAGACATATCAGGTCTTCAGTTTAGTTGTGACACTTAAAAGAAATTGCTTTTTGCTGTTACCCCTGTTGAAGTTGTCATTAGGTTAAGATGAAAAATCAGTGCCGGGTGGTTCCAGAGAAGATTCCTGTAACAGATTTTGTATTGTTAGATTATTTTGGGAGGAAAACCTTTAGTTTTCCATGGGTGTACTTCTCATCCAGTCTGTGCTCTGGACCTATGGGTGACACAAATTACAGTGACAGGAGCTCACCTTGGCTTTGATCACAGTATTGGAAAAGGCTTAATGTTTTCTGGGAGCTTTGTTGATGTTGAAAATGTAACGAGTAGTTACATATATAAAACAATCAGAATGTTTCCTTCCTATATACCCACTTTCTTCCTAAAATATTTACTGAATTAAGTGCTCACTCTGTGCATTAAGCTAGTTCTGTGGAGGACAGAAAAAAAGTATGTGAATCAAATTTTGATACCAGGATTTTGTCAGGTAAGTCTTGAAATACCAAGTGATAAATGCCAAGTTTGTAAGGGAAGAGATCACCTCTGGTTGTTGGAATCAGGAATGCTTGGGGCTAAACTGAAGTATATGTAGCATTTCAGACTTGGGTGTGAAAAAGGCCCTTCTGTGTGAGGCAAAGAAATGAGCAAGGTGGAGGCCATAATAGGAACTGGCATATAGGTAAGTATTATGCTACAGTATACACAGAGGTTTTGGTAATGGAGAAAAAGATAAACTGGAATCATTGATGTGTGTGGTCTGAGAGTTGGTACTTTATGCTAGAAGGTAGTAGAGAAATGATTGATAGAGTTTGAGCAAGATGGTATGCTGACAGTTATACTACAAGAAGATTAGTTATTGGGTGGGGGACTCATTGAAACAGGTATTGAATGAGGGCCTGACCAGTTAAGAAACTATTGTAATAGTCTAGGACTAGGCAAGAGTTTATGATATCTGAACTAGGATAATGTGTTATTTGTTTCACAGGTTTGGAGAGCTTGAAGCAAGTTTTGAATGAATACTTTATTATTATTCATTCAACCAAGCTCATTTATGTTGGAGATGATGGGAATCTTGGCAGCTTTTCTGGGTCAGACCCCTTAAACAGTCCTCTTTTGGGTGTCCTTATTAGCTAGCATCACTTTCAGCGTGACTTGATAAGGTGTGACAGTGACTGATTGGAAAAGGTTTTCTGTGAGAGACTGAGGAGGAGGGCGGACTTGGAGAAGTGGGAAGAGAGGAGTGTGGGATCTCAAGCATAAAAGAAGTAGGGCAAAAAGAAACACGTGTTCGTATTTTTTTCAAAGCTATCAGTATATAAGGGTAATGAGATTTCATACATAAATTCAAGACCAGTGACCATAATGAAAAAAGTAAGTTGGATCAAAGTATATACTAGACTTGAAGGCCATATGAATCATAAAAAAGGGGAATTAAATTGGTTTGAAAGCAGAACTTTAAGACAGACTTGCAGATAAATTATTGGAAGAGAGAAAAATAGAACGAGGTCTAAACTGAACTTCAATGCCATGGAAGCACAAACATCTTCCAATAGTTAGAAGGGTGAATTATATGATCCCAGATCTGCTTTGATAATAGAGTTGTCTTTAAGAAAAGGCCATACTTTTGAGGTGATTTGCAGCCAAAAGAAACATTGTTCTCTGTAGAAATACATCCCAGGGGATCCTTGTGATAGCAATAGCAGGGCCTCCGTGGTTGTAGGAAGTCAGTTACTCCTACCACTCTGAAAGAAGAAAACTCAATGGGACCATGAATGTGATAATGCCAAAGGACTAGAGATGCTTTGGGTTGGAGGGAATGTATTTCTTGAAGTTAGATTCTTTGAGGCATTCTTACAGGGTAAGAATTGTTAATACCTAGGCTGTGGCTTACCAACGTGTTTGGTCCTGTACGAACCCTGTGCCTTTTAGACAGGCTTTCTTACACTGTGTAATATACACACAAGGGTTGGATCTATTTTGAGGTAAGGATAATGAGCTAAAGGACTGTACCTGGGTCCCCTCAGTTCCAGATGACCTGTGCTCACTCATTTCACTGAGATAAACATAGTTCCTTAAAGCCATAAGTCTTGTAAGGGAGTTATAACTGTGGGGACATTGTCACTCCTGATACTGCTCTGACCTGAGGAAAGAATGTTCTATTCCTGCTAAGATGGCCAACTTGGTGAAAAGCTTTATTCTAAGATGTTTTGCTAATTGAGGTCTTACTGTTATCTGGTAATGTGTAGTTTCTATAAGTCTGCTTTATAGGACTTTGTATTTAAAAAAAAAACAATTCCAGTAGAGTTAACATACAGTGTTAAATTAGTTTCAGGTATTCAACATAATGTGTAGTTTCTGTAAGTCTTCTCTATAGGACTTAGTATTTTTTAAAAACTTTAATTCCAGTATAGTTAACAGTGTTAAATTAGTTTCGGTGACTTAGTATCTCATGTATTATTACTCCATGCTCATCAAGATCAGCGTACTCTTCAGCCCTTCACCCAGCATCCCACCTGCCTCCCCTCTGGTAACCACCTGTTTGTTCTCTATAGTTAAGAGTTTGTTTTTTGGTTTGTCCTTTTTTCCTTTGTTTATTTGTTTTGTTTCTTCCACATATGAGTGATATCATATGATATTTGTCTTTCTCTGACTGATTTTGCTTAGTGTTATACTCTCTAGGTCCATCCATGTTGCAAATGGCAAGATTTCATTCTTTTTTATGGCTGAATAATATTCTATTCCATATGTATATATATATCACATCTTCTTTATCCATTCGTCTGTCAGTGGACACTTAGGCTGCTTCCATATTTTGGCTATTGTAAATAGTGCTGAAATAAACATAGGAGCACATATATCCTTTTGAATTAGTGTTTTTGTATTCTTTCGGTAGATACCCAGTAGTGAGATTACTGGATCATATGGTAATTCTTTAAACAAAAAAAAATTTTTTTAATGTTTATTTCTGAGAGAGAAAGAGAGCATGCAAGTGGAGGAGGGGCAGAGGAAGAGGGGAGTGAGGATCCAAAGCTGGCTCTGTGCTGACAACAGAGAGCCTGATGCGGCTTGAACTTAAGAACTGCAAGATCATGACCTGAGCCATGCCAGACACTGAACCAACTGAGCCACCTAGGCGCCCGGGTAGTTTTGTGGGTTTTTTTGTATTAAAAATGTTTGTTTATTTTGAGAGAGAGAGAGAGAGAGAGAGAGAGAGAGAGAGAGAGAGAGAGATCGAGCAGGGGAGGGGGAGAGAGAGAAAATCCCAAGCAGGTTCTGTATTGTCATTACAGAGCCCTACGCGGG